CATACAAGGCAATTACAGAGGCTTTCTTGCCCATACATAAGTGTCTCATTCACATAATATTGTCTGTCATTCATCCCCATGAGAGTTGCCCAATGACAGATCCTTTTCCTCCTGCTATAATTACACACTAAAAGAAGTACTAAGTGGAAAATATCTCTATATGCAATGTGTTAAAGGCATTTCTCAATTACACATGTACTTCGGCTCCTCAAAATCACGGCATTGGGTTCTTTAGACAATAAGTAACACTGGTTAGAAGAAAAGGCAAAATCATCATCAATGTATTTTTTTAAGTGGTCTAGGTTTGGGTAACCCTCGTTTATGATCATCTTTAAAACTTGTTTATATTTCCCAACATGCTAGATTAATGTATTTATCTATGCATAACTCTTATGCTACCCTGACAGCAACATATAATATATGCATATATTACTTCTATACTTAATTAATTTCCCTGCTTGCCCCTGACTTCTTGAGAGGTAGGACTGATATGCCTTTTTCACCTTTGTAGCAATAGTGCAATTCCTGATACAGGTGTCCAATAAATGTTTCTTGTTATATCAGTATGTTGAAGAAGTTCTATAAGTAAACTATGCATTTTCAGTTCTTAAAATAATGACTCTAGTTGTACCAGGACATTTGGTTCCTTAGGGGCATTAAGAGTGTTCCTTGCCTTCCACATCTGCCCATGAAGGAAGAATTGCTATAGGACTTGCTCTCCTATTGGGAACAACTAGAAAGCTGGGCAAAATATATGAAACAAGTTTTGTCAGACACTGGACAACCAATGAGCAACTGGCAGAGCAGGACTGTGATTCTGAAGAGAAAGGAAACAAATGAGATAAGAGCTACAATTATCCCAGTTTTCTGCTTGGAGGCAATTCCTGAACTATACATGGTAAAAAGGAGGGAAACAAAACAGAGCCCCGTTCTCTTGTGGGGTTGAGGAAACAGAGATCAGAGTTCAGGGAGGTCAAAGCAGCTAGAATTTGTGGGGCAGAGCTCTGGATAAGAGAAAACTAAGCAGAAAAAAACTTCAGAAATTTGCATAAAGGTTTCCTTGAGTCATTGGGTGAATACCAATTGCTGCATGCATATGGTGGATCACCATAATGTTGGGCAAAGAATAACTCCTGAGGAAAGAACAACTACTGGGGAGCTGTGCACAAAAAAATTCCCAGAGCTTACACAAAACTGGGAATTGTCCAAGTTCCTACTAGCCAGAATCACCTTACTGATTACGTGGAACATTCATTAGAACCCATATGTGAGTCATATCTTAGTAAAGAGTTAAAGTAGTCGTAGAGTTAAAGTTACCCTAGAGCTGTCGTAAACAGTTTATAAACAAGTCTCAAATGGGTGAAGCCGATTCTTAAGAACAAAGTTTACAACCTTTCTTTAAAAGAAATATTTTTAAAAATCCATTACTCAACAACATAAAATTCACTAAGTCTGATATCCAATGAAAAATTATGAGAGAGACAAAGAAGCAGGAGATAAAACAACCAATAAAATTAAAAATAGAAATGATAGAAGTAGCATACAAAGACTTTAAAACAGCTATTAAAATATAAATATGATCTGAGATTTAAAGGAAAATGTGTATGAGAAATGGATGGTATAAAAGAACCAAATAGAACTTAAAGAGATAAAGAATAAAATATCTGATATAAAACTTTCATCAACAGTCAGTGGCAGTTAATTTCTTTTACCATGCAGCTTTGCTTCACTCCATCTGGACTTTCCTGAAGCTGTGGGAGATGGTCAGGTCCATATCTCGACCGGGCCAGGTGAGGTCTGTGGACCTGAGGCGTCCACTGTAAGGATGGAGAGGGACTGAGAGAGTCCTCGGGCCAGGAGAACTGCAAAACCCCCTTTGAAAAAAGTAAAAACAAACACAATGCTGCCACATTAAAAATGCTGGGAGAGGAGTTTGGGGGGGGGCACAAAAAAAAGAGAGAAAAAAAACCTTTAATTGACAGTATTAACCATTAGTAGATTAGATTAGAGACTGTAGAAGAAAAGATAAGAAAACTTTAAGAAATATCAAGAGAAAATTCAAAATGAAGAAAGAAAAAAGAGTGGTGGGTGGGGAGGGAAAGAATAGATTCTCAGTGATCTGTGGAACAATATCAAGTGGTGTAATATATGTATAACTGGAGTCTCTGAACTTGGGAGGGATGGGGTACAATGGGTAAAATATTTAAAGATGTAATGGCCAAAATTTTTCCTAATTTGATGAAAACTATAAACGTACAGATCCAAGAAGCTTAGTTAGCCCCAATGGGATAGAAACAGGAAAAAAAAACCAAAACAGAACAAAGTGCATTATAATCATATTGCTCAAAATCTGTGTTATGGAGAAAACACTTAAAAGCAGCCATAGGCGAAAAAAGGACATATTACGTACAGGGGAAGAAATAATCAAACACAGACTCTTCTTCAGAAACTTTGCAAGTCTTGTGACAATGTCTTATGACAATAGAATGGTACTTTTAAAGTGCTGAAAGAAATGAAGCTCTCAACCAAAAATTATGTATCCAATAAAAATGTTCCAAAAATGAAAGTGAAGTAATGACTTTTTCAGACAAAACTTGAAAGAGCTCATTATCATCTAACCTGCACCTACAACAAATGACAGCAATATCAATAAAGATGGGGTGGGGGATAGAAGTATCCTGCTGAAAGTGTTTTGCATTATATCTGAAATTATATTATTTGAAGGTAGACAGTGATAAGTTTAAGATGCATATTGTAAGTCCTAGGGTAATCAACAAATAAAACAAGAAGTATGGCTAATAAACCAATAATGGGTATAAGATGGAATATGAAAAATACTCAATTCTTCAAAAAAAGGCAAGAGCAAAAAAACGCACACAAAAAAACAAGAACAGAACAAATAGAAGTAGCAAGATGCTACATTTAAAAGCCATCATATTGATAATTACATTAAATATAAAAGGTCTACACCAGAGTTTCTCAACCCCAATGCCACTGATTTAGGAACAGATAATTCTTAGTTGTGGGGACTTGTACTTTGCACCGTAAGATGTATAACAGCATCCCCGGCCTCTATGTGCTAGATGCCAGTAGAGGCCTCCCTCACCTCTGCCATTGTGACAATAAAAATGTCTCCAGACATTGCCAAATGTCCCCTGGGGGCAAAACTGCTCCCGTTTAAGAGCCACTGATCTAAGAACTCCAATTAAAAGGCAAAGAGTGTCTGACTGAATGAAAAGCAAGATCCAATTATATTCTGTCCAAACAAAGACAATCGAATATAAAGATAAAGGCTAAAAGTAAAAGGACAGTTTCCTTGGTTGGCCTTAAATGCACAGTCAGGTCCCTTTGTGCTCCAAGAGTCTATGACCACTACTGCTCTATCCTGCAGTAACTGCACTGATTCCCCCAGCCCTCTCCCACTATCCATTCACTCCTGGCAAACCACAAGCACAGGCATAACATTCAAAGATGTAAAAAAAGTCTCCTTCCTTGCCCTGCATTCAGTCACCCAGTTCTCCTCCCTGGTGGCATCTACTATTACAGTTTCTTAGGTATCCTTCCAAAGATAGTCCACGCATTTGCAAATGAGTACAGGCATATTTTTTCCCCCACAAATGATAACACATTTACACAATGTTTCTCACATGGCTTCCCCCACCCTTAGCATAGGTTGGAAATCTTTCATATCAGTACATAGAAATAGATCTTCCTCATTTTTTCAACAGCTGGATAGCATACCATTGTGCTGATGTGCTGTAATTTATTTGAACAGTTCTCTATTGATGGGCACACGCTTCTAATCTTTGCAAGCACAAATAATGTAGCAATAGATAACCTTGTACGCATATCATTTCACACCCGTGTTGGTATATCTGTAGGATAAATTCCAGAAATGGAATCTTTAGGTCAAAGACTATATATGTATTTGTTATTTGGGGAGATATTGCCGAGTTGTCCTCTACGGACTTTATAAAACTTTGATTTTTGCTAATCTGACAGGTGGAAATGCTACTTTGTATATGTATTCGATTTGCAGTTAAGGGAGCTTGAATATTTTTTCACGTGCCTAAGTGGTACTGCATTTTTTTCTTCCTTTATACTATCTCTTCATATCCTTTGAGATGGTCTTTTCTTAATAGTTTATAAAAGGTAAAGTCTGTGTTCCGGTAACAGACGGATGGTCATGTCCTGACCAATGACCTTGACGCCAGCATCAACACACCTGTCACCTGTCTCTGGATTTATTAACCCAGGTTTGGAATCTTGGCTTTGCTACTTCCTGCGTGATCTTGGGCAAGTTGCTTTACTTCTTTGAGCTTTAGCGTCTAAGTATCGGGCATAGGGGCTTCCCTGGTGGCGCAGTGGTTGAGAGTCCGCCTGCCGATGCAGGGGACACGGGTTCGTGCCCCGGTCCGGGAAGATCCCACATGCCGCGCAGCGGCTGGGCCCGTGAGCCATGGCCGCTGAGCCTGCACGTCCGGAGCCTGTGCTCCGCAGCGGGAGAGGCCACAACAGTGAGAGGCCCGCGTACCAAAAAAAAAAAAAGTATCGGGCATAGGGTCTGGCTTGTCAACATGGCGCAGAACCGTACCTTTAAGCCCAGGCAAGGAGTTGGCTTGGACTTGTGAGTCAACAAAGTACCGGACACGTTTCTCCGCGGGGAAAGCTTGCTTAGGCACAGAGGCCCGCACGTAGCAACCCAGACGGCGGAGTCCGGGAGAGGCGCCGGAGAAAGCGGGGCCTGGCTCCTTAAAGCCCGAGTTCTCCCTTTCCAGAAAGCCGCAACCCCGCTGTGACCAAGAAATAAAAATCGCGCAAAGAGCGAGCCACGTTCCTCGAGGAGATTCGTCTTCTCAGCCGCCTTTTCTGCTCCCAGGCGCCCCGCCGGACCAGGCAGAGCGCGGGCGCGGCGCGGCGCGGCCCGGGTCCGGCGTGCAGCGGAGGCGGAGGCGGAGGCGGGGGCGGGCCCCGCGGTCACGTGAGCCCGGCCAGCTGTTACGTGGGGGCGGCGGGCCAGAGCGCGGGGAGTCTGGGGAGGGGGAAGCGCCCGACGGCCGCCTCCGCCACTGCAACTGCAGCCCTCGATGTCGCCACAGTGATCTCAGCCGCGGCACCACCCGCACCCTCGCCGGCCTCAGCATCAGCACCGCAGAGCCGAGCCCGGAGCCCGCAGCGCCGCAGGTGAGCTGTGACGGGCACCCCTGGGAGTGCAGGGAATCTGCGGCTGCTTCCCCCGGCGGGTTTCACCCGGATCCGCCATCGCCGTCACCTGTGCCTCGTCGCCTCCAGCTGTCCCTAAACCCGCGGGTGGGAATCCCGCGGATGCTGGCTTGGGCTGTCTGGGGTCTCTAGGGGATCAGGAGAGAGGGGGCCTCAGCCCGGGGTTGAGGTGGGGGACTCCGGCTACAGGCTGCGGGGGCGCAGGAGAGGGCTGCCCCACCCCAGGGCGCGGGCGCCGCAGCCTCGTTGGAACCTGTCCCCGCTCTCCATCCCCCAACCCCATCCTTCCCACCACCTCTTTTGAACTCTCCTCACTCCCCCAGGCCGCTTATCCTGTGTTTCCATTGCTTGGTATCCCAGTTGCTGGCCCGCTGGGGTGTGTGCTCAGTACGGCCCCCGCCCTCCTCCCAAGACCAATCCGGAGGTTCCCGGCTCGTACGGGCACACAGCTGGTGGCGGAGCGGGCCAGGCACCTTCCCGGTCGCACCTGCCGCGCGGACGGGCTCGCGGGAACATGGCTGCCTGGCGGGCCTGTTGCCCTTGGCCCGGCTCTGCCCCCGCGTCCGCCGGTTCTGCGGTTGCGGTTGCCGAGTTGTGTCCGAAGGACTACCCTCCCCCTAAGGGCAAACGCGTCGGCTCGTGCTGTTGTCTGCGAGGGCCGAAGGACTTGACATAACACCGCCCTCCTCCTCAAGCCACACCCGGGGCGGATCTTGGGGATGGGGGGGGGGTGTCGGGGCAAGTTAAGGCGGTGGCGCCGGGGCACTTATTGGTAAAAGGCACTCGTATTTCTGAGATGATTATCCACTTCAGTTTGCCTTTGCGCCCTCGGTGCGCTTGTCTGTCTGGGCGCGGATTATTGGGCGACATCACTTGTGAGGTCTGAGACGAGTGTGATCTGCAAAGCAGGAGGGACACTTGAACTTTAGAGAATTGACGAGAACTAAGATTTAGGGGTTAAAAATGTCCATTCAACTCAAATGCAGAAGCAGTCATTTGCTGTGGCTCCAAACTGTCTTGGTAGTGTTCTGTTCAATAATACGGTCTTTCTGGATTTGCTGTTTAATTCTGGCTTGCAAGTGTCTTGGATTGCGCTTGTAGTCCAGCTTCCCGATGTGTGTGTGTGTGTGTGTGTGTGTGTGCCTACTGTGCTCCAAGCCTGACTAGAAGATGCATCAGTTGCAGAGGAAACCTATGTTAATTCAAAATGGCAGCATGAAAAATCAGGCCAGGCGGAAGCAACACAGACCAGAGCTAACATCAGCTGCCCCCTGACTGAAGCATTGAAGGAGGAATCTACGGGAGGGAAGGCCGTCCTGGGTATCGCTGCAGCCGGCCCTAAGGGATAGGAAGTGATTCTTGCAGCAGGCTAGATTTTAGGGTGCTGCAAGGTTCTGGGGAGGTTATGTGGGAAGTTTGGGGAGTTGTAATTATCTTCAGGTGCAAAGACCTGATTAAAACTCTCTGTGATTTTGATCTGATTTTCTACAGGCTCCACTAAAGTTGATGTATCTGGCTGCCAATATCTGTTTGATAACTTCTGTGCTGTTTTGTACCTACAAGTGGCTCTTAAAAGAGATGAGTGTCTGGTATAAACATCATCCAAGAACAGTACATATAACAAATACCAGGTTCTTAGAGCAAGTTTCATTGGAAGAAATGATTTAACATCACGAGCAAGCACTCAGGCACCAGAGGATGGTAAATTCTTGAAAGGTGACTCATTTTAGGATTTTTTTTTTAACAGCTTTTTTTCCCCCCATTTCACTGCTGTGCTGCCAGCCATCTTCTCTTTTAGCAAAGGAGGAGATGCATGAGGAGGCAAATGTTTCAGGGATAATGGGATGGAGGGAGATTAGTGCAAAGGTCAGGAATGGTGAGCTGGAAGCAGCCTGAGAAAGCGCTGTGCTGTCAACCCCTCTTTACAGCCCGGGAGGCTGAATCCAGCGGGGTGAATGGACTGCACCCAAGGTCATATAGCTGGTTGGCAGCTGGCAGTGAGAACTAATATCCAGGTGTCGTAACTCCCCATTTTAGGGTTCCACATGCCGCCTATCAAAGCCTGGGGGAAAAGAGCAAACCTATCTTTTTAGCATGGCAAACACTTCATGAAACCAAACTTTAACATGATTTAAAAATCTGTACTATTTAAAGTAAGTGTTCACACCTTAGTTTCCTAACTTAAGCCCATTTAACTTCTTAAGCTGTGTCCACCTCATGTTCCCATTTTCCAGGGACTAGACTGCTTCTATATTTAAGCACCCAAACCATAATTTTATGGTTTTTACATTTTATACTATGTCAGAATCTTTGAGGTGAGAAGTGCATTCTTTGATTAAAAAATTAGTTGCTTGTATTGCTTGTCTGGTTTTGTAAAGAAACCAAGGTGGGACATATAATAGCTTTTGAATATATCTAAGTTTAAGTAATAGTAAATAACAAACCTATTTTAAAATAACTTTGAAGCAGCACTGAAGACAGAGTCTTTTTTCTAGAATTTGAATTTGAGTTCTCTGAGTCATATACCAGTGTCCCTAGTTCTACTAAAGCAGAACTAGAGATTGTGTGTGGGTTAGTAAATATTTGTGCAGAGGTGGTGAGAGCAGGGGAAATATTTCTTCTGAGCATTCTGTACCGTCAACCCAGCGATCTGCAGAAGGTGAAGGTGGGTGCGCTACAGGGAACTGAGAGAATAATTGATGATGGTGAAGCAGATAGGAACTAGGTATGGATTGACAGATAATGTGGAAATGAAGACAGATGCTGATGCCACATGTGCCATTAAAACAATAAGTTGCATTAGAGCATGAATGTGAAGGTTCATTCATTGAAATTCTCCCAGTATGTCAAAGATATTTAAAACCACAAGTTTTTAAAAAAAGTAAACACGTGCAATCTGTGTTTGTTGGAAAACAATAAAAAATACAGATAAGCCAAGGTTATTTTTCAAAAGCCACCCATGATCCTTTTATTCAGCAATAATCATTCGTTCTGCAAGTTTGGGTCTTTTCATTGGAGTGAGAGCCCAGGTTTGTGCTGTCTAATTCAGTAGCCACTAGCCACCGGCCACATGCTATTGAGCACTTGAAACATGGAGAGTCTGAATTGTGATGTGTTGTGAATGTAAAATATACATCAGATTTCAAACATTTATAGGAAAAGGAATTTAAAACACTTCATTAATAATTTTATTTATTCATTTTTATTAAAGTATAGTTGATTTATAGTATTATGTTAGTGTCAGGTATACAACATAGTGATTCAAAATTTTATAAATTATATGCCATTTTAAGTTATTATAAAAGAATGGCTATGTTCCCTGTGTTGTACAATATATCCTTGTAGGTTATTTTTTAATACATAGTAGTCTGTACCTCTTAATCCCCATACCCTTATCTGGTTCTTCCTTCCTTCGCTCTCCCCACTGGTAACCACTAGTTTGTTCTCTATATCTGTGAGTCTCTTTCTGTTTTGTTATACTCATTTGTTTGTTTTATTTTTTAGATTCTCATGTAAGTGATAACATACAGTATCTGTCTTTGTCTAACTTATTTCACTAAGCATAATACCCTCTAGGTTCATCCGTATTGTTGCAAATGGCGGGATTTCAATGAACAGATACAGTTCATTAATGATTTTTACGTTGATTATGCAGGCATACCTTGGAGATAATGCGAGTTGGGTTCCAGACCACTGCAATAAAGCAAATATCAAAATAAAGCAAGTCACATGAATTATTTGGTTTCCCAGGGCATATAAAACTTAGGTTTATAGTGTAGTTTGTTAAGTGTGTAATAGCATTATGTCTAAAAAAATGTATATACCTTAATTTAAAAATACTTTATTGCTAAAAAATGCTATCATGTGAGCCTTCACACGATAGAGTGAGTTCTCTTTTCTCTATGCTAACATCAAAGAACACTGATCACAGATCACCATGACAAATATAACAATAATGAAAAACCTTGAAATATTGTGAGAATTGCCAAAATGTGACAGAGACAGGAAGTGAGCAAATGCTATTGGGAAAATGGCGCCCATAGTTTTGCTTCACTCAGGGTTGCCACAAATCTTCAATTTGTAAAAAATGCAATTATCTGTGAAGCGCAATAAAGCAAAGCACAATTAAATGAGGTATGCCTGTATTTTGAATTAATATTTTGGATATATTGGATTTAAACAAAATATGTTATTTAAAGTAATTTCACCAGTTTCCCTTTACTTTTTTAGATGTCGGTCCTGGAAAACATAAAATTACCTATGTGATTCACATCTGTCTTCCATTATATTTCTATTGGGCTGCATCAGTCTAGGTCATTAGCAGAAAGTGGAGGTTGGTTGAGGTGTGTGATACTGTTCATAGAAATGGATGTGGGAGGTGAGAGAAGTTTGAATAGACACTGGAGGGGAGGCGATGGGGTGAGTGGAGAATGACTGACGTGATGTACACGTCAATCACACCCACCTGTCCTCTCTTCCCCAGAAACTCCCAGCATCCTCAGGGCCTCCACCCAGCCTGGGAGAGCAATGAACTGAACTGGGTGGGTGACTGAAAGGGGAGGACGTTGGGGGCCTGCCAGCTTGAGCCTCACTGGAAGCAGAGTGAGGGAGCTTGATATAGTTAATGTTCCCTTCTCCTTCTCTTCTTAATGGTTATATATTTAACCTAAATCTCCCAATGCTTAATCTACTACCCTAAAGTGAGCTAGGTGTTCTTGAAGGCTCCCATAAGCATTTCTGATCATCGTTTTAAGTTGTATTATTGCCCTCCTCTCTTGGTTGTATACATGAGTGCCTCTTCTTCTAGTTGATGAAGACCTTGAGAAGATCTGTTTAGCTCCATTTTCCCTTAGGTTGCACATGGTGCTTATAGGTGGTTAGGGGCTCAGATTACATATCGATAATTCATATGACTTCTTAAAAGTCCTGGTTAAAATGATGTAGTGATCAAAGGCTCTTCT